TTATAAAAGAGATGCCACAGAGTTCCCTAGCCCCTTCACCATGTGAGGACACGGCAAGATGGCGCTTGGGAAGAGGGACCTAACTAAAATGCAATCATGCTGGTACCTTGATCTTGGGCTTTCCACCTCCAGAACTGTGAGAAATGAATTTCTGTTGTTTATAAGCCCCCTGATGTGGTGGTTTGTTACAGCAGCCTGAATGGACTAAAACACTAAGTTATGTATTGAGTCTGCCCTACAAAACGGAAAGAGTGTGTGTGCTCACTGGGGACTGCACACTGGAAAGACGGAGGGGGACATCTGTCATCTGCACCTGGTTTAAGGTCAAACCTTGGCAGCAGGCTCCTGCTCAAACCCAGTTCCTACCTTTATCCTGGGAAATGCCTGTTCCAGAGGGCACCCTCATTTCTAGCAACCTTCCCTTCCACCCACTTCTCACACCCTCTTCCATGGCCGCCGCTTGGACATCTCCATCATCTGCAAGTGCTCCACCTCAAAATCACTTTGGGCAAAACCTCCTACCTCTCCAGCCTGCTGGTGTGGCCGTACCCACTCTGACCTTGTTGGATCTCAGCAGACCTTAGTCCCTTGGGCTTCTCCGGTGCTCATTTCCTAGCTTGGAGCCCACACTCCAACATTGCACGCACCCTCTTGCTAATACAATGTGTTCAACCTCAATCCACAGTAACAAATGTAATTTACATACGACCTAGGGCCCGTTTGCATATGTATTTACACACACATGTGCATTAGCTTTAACTCAATCACAGTTATTTAAAAATCTGACCCTGGACATCAGTTCTTATAATTTCAGCCCTGTGTCTCCCCTCATCTTTACCAAGTTGTTGCAAGAGTCATCTGTATGAACTGTGTTGTTTCCTATGGCTGCTATAACAGATCATCACACGCTTGGTGGCTTAAAACAACACAGATTTATTTTCTTACAGCTCTGGAGATCAGAGGTCTAAAATCAAGGTGTCGACTGTACTGCATTCTTTCGGGGTCTTCAGGGCATAATCTGTTTCCTCGACTTTTCCAGTTTCTAAAAACACCTGCATCCTTTGGCTCATGGCTGCATCACTACAACCTCTGGTTCCACTGCCACATCTTTCATCGACTTTGACCTTCTTATGAGGACCTTGGTGATTATATGGGGCCTTTCAGATCCTCCAGGATCACCTCCCATCTCCAGATTTCTAACTTAATCATAACCTCCGAGTCCTTTTACAACGTAAAGGAACACGTTCCCAGGCTCTGGGGATGGGGACCTGGGGACATCAGTGGGGTGGGGGTGGGGGTTGCTATTCTGTGTACCACAGGAACCATCTGGGATTTCCTCAATTTCCACTCACTTTTCATTCTTTTCCAAACTGGCTCGTGTCCCCACTCACAATCTCAAATGCCTCTCAAAAAGGCCCTTGATATCCTCTGTGTTGCTGAAAACCATGGATAGTTCTAATTTGTCCTTCTTCCTGACCTCTTAGCAGCTTCTGACATGGTGGGCCAATCAGAATGAGGTGTGGGAAGCACCTGTGGAGGACCCTCAGGTGTGAGGGCTGGTGGCCCGTCCTCATGAGCATCTCCTGCCGTCACTCTAGAGTAACGTCTAGTGGGGATGTGGCTGGCTGTAGAACGTGGCATCCCGCCACTGCCCTTGACCTATCAATCCTCCATAGACTCCACGGTGTCTAGACTTTCTTCATTGGTTGAAAGCATTGGTCAGATAGTAAAGAATATTTTTAAAGAAACAGTTTTATTTACCCACCAAAAAGTGTACCTATCACAAATGTGTAGCTGGGAGAATTTTATAAAATAAAACATGTATCCACTCTTCAGATCAAGAAAAGAGCTTTGCCAGCTCACTCTCATGTCCCCTCCCTGTCAAGAACCCCTCTCCTCCCAAAGGTAACACTATTCTGGGGAAGCCTGGGTGGTTTTAATTTTTTTTCTTTTAAATAGACTTTCATTTGTAGAACAGTTTTAAGTGCATGACAAAATTGAGTGGGAGATACAGAGAATTCCCAAATACCTGTAATCCCTATGCAGGCACAGCCTCCCCCTTCATCAACATTCCCCGTCAGAGTGGTAGATGTGTTACAACTGATGAACTTACATTGACACATCATAATATGGACCAAAGTCCATAGTTTACTCTGGGTTCACTCTTGGTGTTATATGTTTTTGTAGGTTTCGACAATGTGTCATGACTTATGTCCATCACTAGAGTATCGTGCAGAGTAGTTTTATTGCCTTGAAATCCTCTGTGCTCCCCCTGCTCATCCTTCCCTTCCCCCAAACCTCCGACAACCACTGTTCTTTTTTTTACCATTGCCATAATTTTGCCTTTTCCAGGATGCCATGTCATTGGACTCATAGAGTCTGTAGCCTTTTCAGATTGGCTTCTTTCACTTAATACTATGCATTGACGTTTCCTCCATGTCTTTTTGCAGCTTCATAACTCATTTCATTTTAGTGCTGAATAATATTCCATTGTCTGGACACAGGCATAGGTTTTTGAAGAAGGAATTGGACTGACTCCAGAGCAGATTTTACTGCTGGAGTATCTTCTTTGTACCTCATGGTGTTAGAACTGACATACCGGCAGAAGGGCCCAGAAGGCCTCCAGAGGCCATTCTCTGCATTGAGCTTCTGCCTCCAGAATATCGCTCTCCGAAAACAAGCATGGCATGCAGTGGGGCTCAGGCCACTGCAATGCACGCACTCATGTCATGTTTTGATGCAAATGGCCCCACAGAGATCAAGTTCTGTTCACTGGGGACAGACTACATGACAAATAGAGAGAAGAAAGGTAATGGCTTTTCCATTCATGTACCAGTTGGTGGAGAAGGCTCCGCTAATCTCCATGAATCTGGGACCCAGGCCCCTTCCGTCTTCTGCCTCCAACACCACTGCTCATTTCCTTCATCTAGATAGAGTCACACATGGCCTGTTGGATGAGCCATCAAGCCAAAGTTGTGCTCCCAGGAATAACTTAACATTCTAGTCAGCTGGTCATCTGGCATGGTCCTGGTGAATGATGTGGTGATGGGTGGACAAAAAAGTCTTAATGATGAATTTGAGGAGGTGCAGGGGTAGGGGTACCAGCCTCGGGAGCTTCGGGGTGGGTGCTGGCCTGGGGAAGCATCAGGTTGACTCTGAGTTCCCTGGCGTGGCTCATAAGGGGGAGCTGAGATTCCACAAAGGAGGCTGGAATTTTCACAACTCATGGCTTTATCAGGGTCCACCCGTGTGTCCTGCAGGAAGATGCTGACCTGCCATTGGACCACCGAGGGGTCTCTGCCCGGCCTCTCTCGGTAGCTGGTGGGGAGCACGGTGAGAGTGAGGACATTGTTCCAATAAGCAGGACCCTGACTCACAGCTCCAGTGCCTCATGTCAGTTTTGCTGCTCTCGCTAGAGTCCACTTCTCCAAGGGAAGCCAATTCAGGGTAGCCGACTTCTTGGCTTTCTTCTTTCAAGGGTGGGGAGGAAAAAGGGAGTTGTAGTGAGAGACCTCAGGTCTGGGTTACATGTGAAGGTGGGCGCTCCCACTCTTCACCTTCAGGTTGGCAAGTGTGACAAACCTATGGCAGATGTCATAGTCCCTTTCACTGTGACTTTCAAGGAAGGCCAGGGAGCTGCAGTGGGTGCCCTTTGCAGAAAATCATGGTCAGAGAGGGTTTTGAAACTTCAGCAGGGATAAAACTTCAGCCCGGGCCGTCTGTGTGGGAATAGGGGAGTTCTGAAACTGCCTTCCTCCGCACCCCTCCGCCCCCTCAGAGGCCAAGGGCTGCCAAACCCGGCTCCCACACACCTCACCAGAAAGTCCCTGGCTTCCCTCCCAGCTGCCTTGCAACTGACCTCATGAGGTGTGAGAAGGAGGAAAGGAATCTACATTTCAGATGAACCTTCCTTCCTCCTTTCTAAGAAGCGGTCCAGGCCGCCCACACCTGCCAGGCCATGCACACGGCTCCTCAGAGCCCAAGGCCCTGTGGCTTGTCCAGCCTGCTTGAGAAGTAGCCAGGGACGCTGGGACAGGGAGCCTGTATGAGTTTGTTGGGACTGCTGTAACAAAGGACCACAGGCTGGGGTGGCTGAAAACAGCAGAAATCCATTCCCTCTGGGCTCTGGAGGCCAGGAGCCTGAGGTCGAGGTGTGGCAGGGCTGGGCTGCCTCTGGAAGGTCCTACGGTAGGATCTTTCCTTGCTTCTTCCAGTTCATGGGGGCTGCAAGCAATCCTTGGGTTCCTTGGCTTTTAGATGTTATCACTCCAGTCTTTACATGGCTGTCTTCCCTCTGTCTCTTCTCTTCTTATAAGGACATTGTCACACCTGTCAAGGACCGTCCTACTCCAGTATGACTTCATCTTAACTAATTACAACTGCAAGGACCCTATTTCCAAATAAGGGGGCATCTGAAGTTCCTGGTGAACATGAACTTGTGGGACACTGGTCAGCCTATAACAGAGCCCCACCATCCACCCCTTCCCCTCCCTTCAGAGCAGACCCTTACCCCATGCAGGATGCCCTGCCTTTTCTTTCCAGTGCCCAGGAGTAGTGACCCCAAAATAAAATGGCATTCCCTCCCTCCAGGAAGGCCTGGCCCAGCTAGTGGGAGATCAGAGAACCCAAATCTCTTCAGGGACAGGCATCTATATGCCCAAGGGACATCCACTTGGAATTTTTTTCCAGCTTTATAGAGATGCTTCAGGATTTCTTGGCTCCTGGCCAATCCCAAAGGGAACGAGCCCTCTGAGCCTTCCAGTGGGCCATTCCAGACCAAGGTTTACAACCCAGATGGGAAAACTGGCCCTTGCTCCTTCAGCCTCACCTCGAGCCCAGTTTGGGGTCTTCTCTATGGGAGCTGCTAAGGAAGCTCCGTCTCCCATCTTTATGACTGACCAGCCCCTTCCCCCTGGGGGAGCCGAGGTCCCCCTGTTCAGAAAGCTGTGAAGGAGTGGTGGGTTCCTGGGCCTCTTGTAACCCAGCTGAATATTTTCCAGGTTATCTAACCAAACTCCTGCAAAACCACACCGCCTATGCCTGTGATGGGGACCGTTTGAATCTACAGTGCCCTCGGCATTCCACGATAAGTGTTCAATCGGCATTTTATGGGCAGGATTACCAAATGTGTAGTGCCCAGCAGCCTGCCTCCCAGAGGGAAGACAGCGTAGCCTGCGTGGCACCCACCACGTTGCAGGTACTGCCCTTCGTAGCTGCTTTAAGATGATAAAATGGTTCTCATTCTCTCTCCCTCCCTCCCTCCCTCTCTCCCTCTCCCCATCTCTCTCTCTCTGTATATATGCTTGTGATTACATAGTTCACTTAAAGCAAACCTGATCCATGAAAACCCCAGTTCATACAAATCACCAATTTCACGGGTGAGCTATTATTTGCTTCTCAAAAGGATTCTTCACCAAACAAGTCTAAATGGAATTCCTACTTCCTGGAGAACTCCCGTAAAACACTTGCAATATGAATTTATCCGGAGGCACACTCCCCACTGTAGTAAAGCCAAGTACAGTCACGTTGGGCTTTGACCTCCAGGACCACTCCTCCTGTCAATACCCCAGCAGAGAGGGAAGAGTGAGGATGCTTTAGTGGAAACGACAAGGTCTCTGTGAGGCCAACAGCCAAGGTCATGATCAACTTCTTAGAGAATGCACTGGAGGGAGGGAAACCTCAATCACAGTTGTTCTTTAAAAAATGGTTTGCAGGGTGCCTGGGTGGCTCAGTCCTTGGGCGTCTGCCTTCGGCTCAGGTCATGATCCCGGGGTCCTGGGATCGAGCCCCGCATCAGGCTCCCTGCTCGGCAGGAAGCCTGCTTCTCCCTCTCCCACTCCCCCTGCTTGTGTTCCCTCTCTCGCTCTCTCTCTCTCTCTGTCAAATAAATAAATAAAATCTTTAAAAAATAAAATAAAATAAATAAAAGATGGTTTGCTTCTCCAGTTGTGAATGATGACATCATTCTGGTTCTGAGCTACTTTGGGCAGCCTCTGCTGATTTGTTCTTCTATTGGACAGTACCAGAAATTTGTGGAGGGTGGCTAAGTCTTTCTTTTTTTTTTTTTTTAATTGGCATTAGGGAAAGATTTGGTATAGGAGGAGGACAGAGCTAATATTTCAATGGGGATTTTAGACTACTCCTGGCTCTTTGATTTTTTTCAGCCACAGGAAATATGGGTAAAGATAAATTTATGAGGAAGACTAAGGAGTGATGGGATTAGCATAAGGCTGTGTAGCTCTCCCAGAGGCCCAAAGAGGAGAAGCACAAATAATATGATACGTAAGGATTTTCCTATTTCTCACACCATTTGTTGCTTCCATCCCAAGCATCGTTGTATCTGTGTAGTCATGTGATTGGTAAAGATACCTGCTGAGTAGCCAAAGGAATATGTTTGAGTGCATTCCCTGGATATGGGTTCCACATCCTGAGGAGAGGCCACATGTTTCTTCTGGGGACAGGCACTTCCCTTGTGTGCCCCCCACCCCATTCCTGCCCCTTGGCCGCCCCTGCAGGAGCCGTATTCCTGTTGGCCTGCCCCCAGTCCTCACCCCAACTTCCCTGCCCACCCATCCCTGGTACCCAGGCCGTCTGTTGCTGTCCTGGGTGCATAAAAGGGACATTAGCCAGTGCCAATAGGACGGGAGTGCCTGCTTTGTGAAAGGATGAACCCCTGGCATCTCCAAAGCCTGGGCACCACCCTCACCTTCCAACATGGGCGCCTGGCTCTGCCAGGCAGGCCCGAGGGAAGAGGATGTTTCCATAGCCAAGCAGACAAGTTAGCATTTGTGAACACAGCTCTGAAGTTGTATGGAAGGTCTGTTTGCCAGAAGCAACCCCGTGCGCTTCTCTTTCATCCAGAGATCAAGAGAGCCTTTATTCTGTGTCTTTTGACTGGCCTTGGGGATCGTGGGAAGGGGCTTCCTCTGCCTCAGAGTGAAGGTGCCCGACTTGGGAGAGAACTGTCGCTGTTCACCCAGGAGCCCCTCAGCTGATCTGGCCCGTGGCTGAGTGTCACCAGGAAGACCCCTCCTCCGTGCATTTTGCAGCCGTGACACCGTTTGGAAACAGCCCTGCCTTGAGTCCCACTCTGTGGTTGTAATATGTACGTGGAGCCACCCAAGGGCTGCGTCATTTCACGATGACCCTCGGCCACGAGAATGTGTCCCATCATCTGTGTCTGTGTGTCTGTGGGGGTTCCTCAGGGTTTCCCTGGGCATGTTTCCTGGTTTCATACACATCCACTGGGCCCCTGAAGGGATAGCTGGTGGGGCCAGCCTCCTCCACGGACATACACCATGAGCCACTATAGGGACACGGAGACTCAGGCTCGGGAATCTGTGCTAAATTCAGTCCAGTACATTCTTGGGAAATGTCCACTGGACTTGGAGTTCTTTTAACAGCCATAGAGTGTAAGGCTTCTGTGACTATCATGGGCAGGGTTTGCTCCATTTGGGAAGTAGAAGAGCAGAAGCGAGGCGCTAAGCCCTGCTGGGACCCCATGTAGGGGCTGGTTAAGCGTCCGCCTCCTGCTTGGGTCATGATCCCAGGGTCCTGGGATCAAGTCCCGCATTGGGCTCCCTGCTCAGGGCAGAGCCTGCTTCTCCCTCTCCCTCTGCCATTCCCTCTGCTTGTGCTCTTTGGCTCTGTCTATCTCTTTGTCAAATAAATAAATAAAATCTTTAAAGAAAAAAAGAGTAGCTTTGTGGAAACAAACAAGCGAAAAACAAAACAAAACAAAACAAAAACCGAAGGGGTGAACTGCCCAGAAAAAAATTGAGAGCAGGAGACATTTGAAGGAACACGTGTAAGCCAAATGCTCAACAGCAAAGCCTGAGCATTCCATGAAGAAAATTGCTCCAAAGGGAACCAGTGGGTCCCGTGCCCTGGAGGTTGGCGAGGGTGGGAATCAGCTTCTTAATTTTTATCGGTTGGCCCGTGTTCGGGTTGCGTCTCCAAGGCCTCCCCCGAATGCTGAGTTCTCTGTGGTCGGTGCCCGGCCATTTCCGAGGCTGGAGAGATACGGCTGTGATCCCTGATCCCCACGGCTCTGTCCCGGCCCTCCCAGAAGGGACCTCCGAGGCCTGTCTCGCCCACGCTCTGAGTTTCTCGGATCTTGCTCATATTTCCTGGAGCCTCCCCCATGCGGTACTTTTGCCAAAACCATCGGCAGCACTTCCAGCCGAGGCCGACTGGAGGCTAGTCTTCGGCTGGGGGTCTGCCACTGGTGAGTCAGGTGTCCTGTTCTGGGAAAGACAGGGAGGCAGGGAGCCGACCTGATCTCGCCTTAGACACAGCTCACGGCCGCTCGAAGATTCTTCGTGCGGACCCCAGGCCGGACAGACAGGTGTCTCTTCTCTTCTCGGAGCCCAGAGCCGCCCGGGTGTGGGGTCTCCCAGACGCTGCGTGTGGTTTTCAAGCCTATCCCTTTTCTACTCCCTCATTTTAGAAGGTGCTGGACGAATGCCAGAACCAGCGGGCCTGCCACCTCCTGGTCAATAGCCGTGTTTTTGGACCTGACCTTTGCCCAGGAAGCAGTAAATACCTCCTGGTCTCCTTTAAATGCCAGCCTAGTAAGTAACGTCTGAGGGGGACAGCGTGTTTGGGGTGCGGGTTCCCTGTTTCATTCACAGCCCTCGTGGAGATTCTCTGCCAGTTGGTATTTGTCCCACTTAGAAACTTGTTAATAGAGATGTCCTACCCGTTTTTGTAATAGTTTGTGGGTATTTGCGTGAATAGTTTGTGTGTATTTGTGTGTGTGTGTGCATACACCCATATATCTGCGTGCATTCTTACGAATCCCTGAATTCAAAATGTCCTTCCTGATACGTAAACCTCAGTTGTACCCATGCTAAAGGTAGGCCTTTCCCCCAAACGAGGAGCCAGTTCTCCTTTTCAGAGGAAGCCCACCCCCAGCTGCGGGGCTGCTTGCTCTCATGAGAGGGCCCGGCTGCCCCCGGAGCCCCGGGTTCCAGATCTTTATGAATCGCCTCTTCTGCTTTCACTGAAGCAGGGGCTCTGTACCCAGTGTCTCTTCCTGGAGAAAGAAAGCGGAAGGGCTTCTGGCTGGAGCAGCCTCTTCTACTCTGATTCTTGCGTTTCTCTCCGTTGACTGTGTCACCTGAAACGCACCTTAGTTTTGTGATCAACCCACTGCAGCCAAAAGGAACTGCTTTTTAGCGAGTAGGTCACCCTTACAGATGTGGTGGCCCAGCCCGAGAGAAGCCATAGGTAAGGGCGACATTAGAGGCTCCTGCTAATCCTTGTTGAAAAGAAAGCAGCGTTAGAGCAACAACATTTAACCAAAGGATTATACTGAAGGAATAATCATTTGAAAAAATTCTGCACTGCCATCCCAACACACCGTTTTTGTTTTTTTGCATTTTGTTCTCCGTTGGTTTCTGCCTCTGGAGCCCAGCATCTTCCCAAGACACTGGCAGCCTGGGTGCCGGGGGCGGGTGGGGCTTTGGGTCACACGTGTGTCGTGCGTGGTCTCAAGTGCGCACTTGAAGGGAAAGCGCGGGATCCTTTCAGCAAATATCTAGCCTTCCGTCTTAAACCCTTTCCTTGCTGGGGCCCGGATACCTCAGAACTGCCCCTCTGCCTCTTCCCCCAGCCTGTGTGTTCAAACACACATTCACACTCACACGCACATACACACCTTCACACGCTTACCACGTACGCACGGTCACTCGTACACACAATAGCACGCCTGTCTGTGCTATTACACGCAGACCCACCGTCACACACATACTCACACGTGCACATGATCACAAACACCCACAAGCGGGCCCGAACTTGACATCCCAGCCGGGCCCTCCCCAGAAATTCTTGTCAACGCCTGCCCCACTTGGGAACATCCCTTCCCGATCTCCGTGTTCTCAGTCATGTCCTTCCCATGGCTAAGTCTCAAAAACGGCCGTCCTCCTTCCATGGTGGGAAAGACAACCCTTTTTTAAAGTGGCCCTTGTTCAAAACGTTAAGGATTGGAGAATCTGGGTGGTGGGAAATAAGCCTGTCACTTGTGATAATCTCCCACATTTCCTATACGTCGGAAGTTTTTTGTAATAAAAAATTGCGAAGGACCAGCCTCTAAGAGAAGGAAAAAGACCCTCGTGAGGTGGCAGAACCTCGAATCTAAGTCAGTGCCAGGCCACCAGCCTTATTCCTGCACCGAGCAATTAGGTCTGATCACTAATCTCGTTTCAGTAAAATACTTTTTTTTTTAAAGATTTTATTTATTCATTTGAGACACAGAGATACAGAGAGAGAGAGAGAGCATGAGCAGGGAGAGAGGCAGAGGGAGAAGGAGAAGCAGGCTCCCCGCTGAGCCAGGAGCCCAATGCGGGGCTCGATCCCAGGACCCTGGGATCATGACCTGAGCCGAAAGCAGATGCTTAACCATCTGAGCCACCCAGGCGCCCCCTCGTTTCAGCAAAATACTTATTAAGCATCTCCTGTGCACAGGTGTCAGGCCAGCTGTTGGGTATGAAGAGAACTCTCGTGTTCTGTGGAAGTTTCTCAGATGGTGGTTCCACCTGGGACAGCTCCCAGCGTTCCTTCATCCAGCGAGCACTTATTGACATCTTCACACAGCTGCTTTCTTCTTGTCCTTTAGGTTCTAACAAATATCACCTTTCTCCAGAAAGATCAGATCTGTCCAGAAAACATCTCAGCAGGAGCCCTGCTGTCTTGGTACTGTGCAGGTTGCTCCGGGAGGAACTGACCCTGGCAGGGTGGTGCAGGGAAGGCGTTCCTGTCAGGTGATGGTGGGGCTGAGGACTGGAGGATAGGGGGCGGGCACAGGAGCACTCCATACGGAAGCCTGTGGCCAGAGGGAGCAGGGGGCTCTGGGGAGCAAGCAAGAGCACCGGCCAGGGAGCTGGGGCAGGATCCCCGAGCCCTGATAGCCGAGGAAGGAGGTGGATTCTTTCTTTAAGCAGGGAGGATGTGTGGCTGGGTTTTTAAAGTCCCCTCTGGCTGCCCTGTGTGGTAACAGATTAGGGGCAGAGCCCTTGTGTCTTAGTCTGTTCGAGCTATTATAACAAAATGTCATAAACTGGGAGGCTTATAATCAACAGAAGTTTATTTCTCATAGTTCTGGAGGCTGGGAAGACCAAGACCGAGGTGCTGGCAGATTTGGTGTCTGCCGAGGGCCCACCTTCTCACCGTTGGCTGTCTTTTTGCCATAACCACCTTCCTTGGCAGAAAGGACGAGGAATCTCTCTGGGGGTCTCGTTCACAAAGGGCACTCATCCCTGGGGGCTCCACCCTCATGACCAAAGCACCTTCCAAAAGCCCCACCCCTAACACCATCCAGCTGGGCGTTAGGATTTCAACTTGAGTTGAAGGAGGATGCAGTCGTTCAGACCAGAGCACCTTGGGTAACATGGGCCTCGGTGACCTGAGGCATTGCAGGTTAGGAGATGCTCCTGTCCCTGCTGTGAGGTGAAGGAGGAAGGGAGGGGCTCCCCTACCCTCCCGCCTCTTTTTCTGCAGCCCTCTCACCCCGGAGGCTCTCTGTCTCCGGTGCCAGCCCGAGTGTGACACTGATTGTCCTAAGGGGAACCCTGCTGCACCCAGGAGTGCGGGGACCCAGCCCTCATCCTGAGAGCCAACTATGCGCATCTCTTCCCGGCAGTGAAGTCTGCCACCACAGGAGCATTTACACCAGGGAGCTGGGCGAACGCTGCCAACCAGGGCTGGCTTGTTGGTGGTCGGGGAGCTATTTTATAGGGAAACTTCCAGCGTCAGGTCCGTGATTCAACTGTCAAGTGAGGATAATGCGCTTCCCGCACGGGGCTGTGGTAAAGAGTGTATAAGTACAGTGTTGTGTAGACGAAAGCTACAGTGCCTTTTGTAAGATGCTTAGCAGAGGACCTCAGTGACTGGTGGCCGTCGTTCCAGTAGGCAGATTAAAGTCATCCTTGCTAAAAAAATAAATAAATAAATAAATAAAAAATAAATAAAGTCATCCTTGCTGAGGATATGAATGACCAAAAGGCAGTGAGACACCAGGTGTTGGGGGGCTGGGGTGAGGTCTGCCCAGGGTGCAGGCAATAACAGGACACACTGTCTGTAGAGAATTTAAAAAAACACATTAAAAGTGACTAAATCTCTCTCTGCATGTTGATAATATCGCCGTGTATGATCGTCGAAAGTAACATCAGTAATCACAGTAATCACACATTCTCATCATGGCACCCCGCTTAGAAGGGCCCCCTGCGGATATGCAGGGGCATATCTGTGTCATTAGGGAGGCCCCACCTAGCCCCTGGCTTGGCAGTATTAGGAGGGAGACTTTGTTACTGTTGTCCTTGAGGAAGAGTCCTGGCTGTCCCTCTGCCCAGGCTCCTGTCACTCTCCCTGTCCACACTCATGGGGCTGATGGCAACCCTTCTGGAAGTCTCCCCCCCGCCTTTTCTAATCTGAGACCATTGAGCACTCTCACCCAGCTCTAAAACAAATTCTCTTTCTCTATCCAAAGTAGCAATCTGTTAGTGGTCCCATTGTTTTTAGGACCCAGAAGTGTCACTCTTAGGTGACAGTGAATTAGCACATTCCCAAGGAACCAAGTGACTCAACATCACACAGCAGTAACCCCAAGCATGTAATGTGACACTCACAGGCCCCTCCATTCCAGATGATTGGCCCATATTCTGGGGACAGGATCACCGGAGGCCTTAGAGTGCAGGTGTTGTGTTACTCTGGGTGAGTTTGGCCAGCATCGAGGCCTCCTTTAATGAATGGGCCTTAGTACATCAGAGAGGTGGTGGCTGATAAATGCACTTCATGACAGGCCTTAAAAAGTCTCTTCTAATTTTTAAAAAATTCTGATAAAGAAAGAAAAAGAAAGAAAGAAAGAAAGAAAGAAAGGAAGGAAGGAAGGAAGGAAGGAAGGAAGGAAGGAAGGAAGGAAGGAAGGAAGGAAGGAAGGAGGGAGGAAGGAAGGAAGAAAAAAGAAGGGAGGAAACAAAGAAAGGAGGGAGGGAGGAAGGAAGGAAGGAAGAAAATAAGGAAGGTAGGAAGGAAGGAAAGAAGGAAAGAGAAAGAAAGAAGAAAGAAAGAAAGGAAGAAGGAAGGAAGAAGAAAGAAAGAAAGAAAGAAAGAAAGAAAGAAAGAAAGAAAGAGAAAGAAGAAAGAAAGAAAGAAAGAAAGAAAGAAAGAAAGAAAGAAAGAAAGAAAGGAGGGAGGGAGGAAGGAAGGAAGGAGGGAGGAAGGAAGGAAGAGAAAAGAAGGGAGGAAGGAAGGAAGGAAACAAAGAAAGGAGGGAGGGAGGAAGGAAGGAAGGAAGAAAATAAGGAAGGAAGGTAGGAAGGAAGGAAAGAGAAAGAAGAAAGAGAAAGGAAGAAGGAAGGAAGGAAGAAGAAAAGAAAGAAAGAAAGAAAGAAAGAAAAGAAAGAAAGGAGGGAGGGAGGAAGGAAGGAAGGAGGGAGGAAGGAAGGAAGGAAGAGAAAAGAAGGGAGGAAGGAAGGAAGGAAACAAAGAAAGGAGGGAGGGAGGAAGGAAGGAAGGAAACAAAGAAAGGAGGGAGGGAGGAAGGAAGGAAGGAAGAAAATAAGGAAGGAAGGTAGGAAGGAAGGAAAGAGAAAGAAAGAAAGAAAGAGAAAGGAAGAAGGAAGGAAGAAAGGAAGAAAGCAAGCAAGCAAGCAAACCAGCCAATCCTGTTAGAAAACTTCCAGTTTGCTAGATAAGGCTTGGTTTTCATCCTTTTTGGTGAGCTCTGCCACTGGAAGGCATTCTTAACATTCTTCAGTATTCTCCCAGTTGGAAGGGGGCTTGGGCTCTTTTGGTGTGTCTACCAGCGCCCTCTGTTCTGCATCAAAGGCCATCTTTCATTCTGGGCCTTTGAAGTAAGGCATTATTTTGGTGTTGGTGGGATTTAGCGTTTACTCATAAAAGGCATCAAAAACCTCATCCCAGTGCGGATGTGACTCACCAAAATCAAACCCTCCAATGTCAGGGTCAGACTCAGTGTTCTTTTTGTTTAGCAAAAGAAAACAAAGCTTTTCTTGGCTTTAGGTTTAAACTGTTGAATTAAGATTCCAGTGAACGGGTGAAGGGCATTCTAAACATTGCTTAGTCACCACTTAAATTTTCCCTCCTCTGTTAGTTCCTGGTATGTTAGGATACTGGGCGGAGGGGGTGGGGAGTCAGCGGGGATTCTGTGAACATCTGTAACCCGGTTTCTGCTTCACACATTTCATCACCTTGAGTGTTCCCATCATCATGGATTAAAGAACAGTACCAAGGTTTATCAGCACCAGAGCTGATGGTATCTCGAGATCGTGAATTTCCAATCTCAATCTAAATTGAGATTTCCTCACTGCTGCTTCTCTGTTTGGTGTAGAAGGGCACGGGAATTCACAAGTTATGGAAAAAGGTGGAATTTATATTTGAAAATCATTTTCTTTCATGTTTTAACTTTGGGGCTTCAGCATCAGCGATTCCAGGATATGCAAGTCCCACGGTCACCCCACCGTTGCCCTAGTATTTACCACTCACGCCTTCCTGGAAGGCTTCAGTGGGGGGTTTTCAAACTGGTTTGATTACAATGCAGAGTAAGGAAAACATTTTACGTTTTGACCCAGCATAACACACACACAACGGAAAATATTTTTTTAAATTATAAAATAGTGTTAATCCTCTTTTTGCGTGATACGCTTTGATGCTTTCTAAACTCTTCTTTGTTTTTTTAAATTGCAGGTCACAAATGACTAAGCTGATTTCATGAATAGAATAGAATAGAATAGAATAGGCCTCAAATCACAGTTTAATAAACTTTAGCTTGAGATGTATGAGGGATCTGGGAATGGCCTGCAACTTCAATCCAAAAACATGAGTGAGTCAGAGAAGTGAAAGTGGGGGTTGGGGAGTGGTCATGGGGGGTAGTCATGGGGAATGGTCATGGGGAGTGGTCATGGGGGATGGTCATGGGGGAGGTCATGGAGGGTGGTCATGGGGAATGGCCATAGGAGGGGTAGTAATGGGAGGGGTAGTCATGGGGGAGTGGATATTGGGGGGGGCTAGTTTTCCTTCTTCTTGACACATTCTTCCCCATCCCAGGCAATCCATGATAGTCTGAGTAGCTCCTGTAATTTAGCTCCTGTTGGCTTGTTTGACTGCAAAATGTTCCCATTTGCTCTGCAGTTGCCATTTCAAAGTAGAAAAATCTAGTACGGGGGTGATACAGTGATTTTTTTTCCTTACAAAATGTTGGGGAGGTGGGGAGAGGAGAACCACACAGGCAAATAAATGAGCATAGTCTCCTCTGTGTTTTGCTTTGCTTTGATTTTAAAGCAAAGTTTAAGATAAGTGGCAGGCTAGGAGAAGATATTCATAACACATATTAGAGGAAAGTTAGCATCCAGAATATATGAATAACTGCTACAGTGTCTAAAAATCCAAAACACAACATGCCAAGGATATGAAGAGGGGTTCCCAAGAGGGCTGTTTTGAGGATTAAATTTACTGATACATTTAAAGATCTTAGAACAGGGCTTAATCAGAGGACAAGCTCAATAAATATTAGCATTTATAATTTTTGAAATGTCTTTATTGAAGTATATTACATACATAAATTTCATCCATTGTAAGTGTGCCATTCAATGGTTCAGTAAATGTGCTGAATCATGCCACCATCACCACCGTCCAGATACAGAACATTTCCATCATCTCAAAAATGTCCTATGTCCATTTCTTGTCATTTCTGTTTGTTCCCAAACCTCAGCCCCAATGGAACCACTCACCTACACTCTGTCTCTATGTGTTTGCCTTTCCTGGAGATCTCAACAAAATGGAATCATACGATATGTGATCCTTTGTGTCTGGAGTGTTAACGATTATTACTTTTAAAAATCAAATCATTATGAAACATCTTTATTAACTGAATGCTTTTCCAGTACATTCTTTAAAAAAAAAACAACCAAAACCCAATCAGCTGTATTTTCATCAGCAGTGAATTTACAATGTCAGCGTTGTGTGACACTGTAAAAGGAAATGTTACTCTGGTAGGCGGATTAAACAGACACATAAACCTTTCCCTAAATTCCTTGGGAACAAACCGTGACCTGGTGCGGGTGGTCGTAAGGTAGTACACCACAGCAGGTGAGCGTCTGCTGCTCCTGAATCACCAGACTGGGGGCAGGCTCTTCATAGTTCTCTAAAGAGGGACTCTTCACAAGACACGTGCCCTGTTTTTTCCCTTTCCTAGCCAAGGAAATCATTTGCTTTTACATCATCTCTCTTTTTATATATGTAAAGATCGCTAGATCTTACGCTAGAACGTTAGGAAATCTGGTGCTAAGGTTTAATTGCCCTCTCTCCAGAAGTTTAATCTGCAATCAGGTAATTCCGGATCTTTACCTGTGTGGGTCCAAGTCAACATTTGAGGAAAGGCTGCCTTCAATTAAGGAATGTATGACCTCAAGTGGAGAGAGAGAGAGAGAGAAACATCCGTTATGGCCAGGCCCATCCCCAAACCCAGCCCAGTGAGCCCTGCCTTCCGCTGTACCTGGCCCCTGTCTCCTTCACCTGCCCCTTACTGTCATTCCCACATCTTCCTGCAGAGGGCTTTTATTCCAGGGTCAGACCCCACGGCTGGTGGGGCTGTTCCCACTGTCCTTCTCAGGGCGCAGCTCCAGGGGGGCAATGAGTGGCCAGGGATTGGGCAGGGCTCCCTGATTCCTTCTGAGGGAAACTGATGGTGCCGCTGATTTTTGTTTCTGCTTCAGATGAATTAAAAAACAAAACCGTGTGTGAAGACCAAGAGCTGAAGCTGCACTGCCACCCCTCAAAGTTTCTCAACATCTACTGGGCGAGCTATGGCAGGAGGACCCAGGAGAGGGACATCTGCTCCTCAGAAGCAGAGCGGCTCCCCCCATTTGGTACGTGGTTTCATGTGGCTCTCGTTCAGTGCAAGGGCACTGGGGTTCTGGCTCCCCACGCAGGGGACAGTACCTGGATTAGAGGGAAAGTCAAGGGCAGGGAAGAACCACCCACAGGGTGCCACCTCCTTCTGCCCCACATTCCCAAATCTGTCCATTGTTTAGTCGTTTCACAAGTAGTTACTGAACACCGACTGTATGCAGGGACTTGTTCTAGGCAGAGGGGAGTCATCAGTGACCACACAGGGTCTACATGGAACTGACCTTCCAGAAATGAACAAAGGAGTAGTGAGACAACAAACAAACAAAAAGAGCTCGCATGTCATATTTCAGGTGCACACAAGTGCTAAGGGGGAAAGCACACTTCGGGAGGGAGATGGGGAGGCTGGGGTGTCTACAGAGAGGCACGGCCTTATGGGGTCACTGGCATGCTGAGCAGAGACTTGAAGGAGGAGATACAAGGTAGAGAGAAGAGCCTGGACCCTAACCGGTTGTTTAGGGTCAAGGGGAGCTCAGAGAGTCATTCTTCTTCGGGATCTGTAGTCTAGAGCTGACAGATGATGGCCAGGATGTGGGGCTGAAAGCTCCACCCATCGAAGTCACCCAGTGTTATGATTAGTCAGGGATCTCCAGAGAAACAGAACCAACAAGACATACATACCTATATTTGGAAAGAGAGATTGATGTTAAGGAATTGGCTCACACCGTGGTGGTGCCTGGCAGATCTGAAAATTGCAGGGTGGGTTGGGAGTCTGGGAACTCAGGTAAGAGTTGGTGTTTAATCTTGAGTCCGAATTCTGCAGGATAGTGGGCTGGAAACAGGCAGATTTTCTATGCTGCAGCCTGGAGAAAAATTCCTTTTTCAGAAAACCTGTCTTTGCTCTCCAGGCCTTCAACTGATTGGTCAAGGCCCACCCTCATCAGGAATGGTAATCTGCTTTACTCAGAGTCCACTTTGAATGTTAAATGTTAGTCCTATCTTTAAAATATCTTCACGACCACATCTAGCCTGGTCTTTGACCAAACAATGGGGCACCGTAGCCTAGCCGAGCTGAGACATAAAATTAACCATCATACACCCCAGTCTGCGGTAGGGAAGCGGGCTGAACTCTACCCTCTATGTTACCTGAGAGAACAGGCCCCACGGGGAGACAGCCCAGAGAGTTGCACTTGATTCATCAAAATCTAAAATGAGCTCCACAGTGTATTAAATTGCTACAATCACATGTGAAATTAAACATTAATTTTTTAAAATAAATTTATACAAAACCAATATCTTGATCTGAAAAAAAAGAAAGAAAGAACGACCGCCCAGGCAAGCTCTCAGGTGAGACTAGAGAGAGAACAAAGAGCAGTTCACAAAGAACACGTGCCCCCAAGGTCCTCAGTCCAGTGTTCTGGGAAGGAAGGCCCTTCGCTGGTAGATGGCAGAGGGTCTTTTAAGGACAGACCTGGCAGCCCACAGAGACAGGCTGAAGTGGGCGTTGGATTAGCTGCCCTGGATTAGCTCTGGGTCAGAGGACTCCCATTTAACAGGCTGGGCTGCCAAATGGCGTGGCTTCCCATTGTATGTGTATGTCTCAGCCCCACCCTCAGCCCCATGCCCCATTGAGTGATCTGGGAGTTCTTGACACTCTGGTCACTCTCAGATGTAACCCCTGCCTGTGTTCAGAACATCTCCACCCCCTCCTGCCTTGGTCCTGCTACTGCATGAGCTCCAGGGACCACTGCCTGGTCTTTGCAGTCTCCCTACTCCCCAGCTTGTCCCCCCTACCCCCCCGGGTGGCTAGATGCATCCTAAAAGGCCAGTGTGATCCCTGTTCTTCTGAACATCCTGCAGGGACTTTCCCTATGATCTGGTCTCCTCAGCTGGGTAAGGGGACCCTTGGTGATCTGACCTATTTCTGCAAAAAGGGACTCTCCTTCTTGATATTGGGGTGGGGTACCCCATTTCTCAGGCTTGCAAAATGCAACCTAGCCACATGTGTTTGGGGAGGCAGCACTAAGTCCCATCTGTTTCAGCCATTTTTTTGAGCAGAAGAAGTCCGTCAGCCAAGCACGCAGATCTGTATCCAGGTTGCATGGTTTATGGGCCGTGGGTCACACTGCCTTAGGTTCTTGGGAAGTTGGATGGGAGTTGGGTTGAAAGGGAAACGTAATCAGCCAAAGAAAATGTTAGCAGACATCATGGCTAAGGGAGAGGTTTCCACAGAGACTTCGAGGACTGCTTCGGTCATCCAGCTGTGATCATGCCATGAATAGCCCTCACTGAAGCAGGAAAGGTCTCTGAATGGAAGGCCATGCCCCTTGCTTAGCGGTTCAGCTGGAAAAGTTTGAGCCCCGGCAAAGTCACCCAGCAGAAACAACCTGCTCGTCCTGCCCCCATCCCCTTGTACCCCTCATGGTCAAGGGCTTCTGTCCCTTGCCCGTTGACTACACGTGAGGTTGAGGAGCAGGCTGTTCACCGCATTCAGGAACCACTGCCAAACGCAGGAGAGCGTCTGGCCCTGCACTCTGCAGGGGGGAGAGGCTCTCAGGGAAGAGGAGAGGCCCTTGGGAGGGCTCCTCATCCTCAGCTCATCCCCAGCCTCACGTGGAGGCCTGGACTGTGCCCGCCTTCTAGGTCAGTATCAAGAGCAGACCCTTGGATAGCCCTGCTGACGTGCTTTCCCCATCGCGCCGAATGCTAAGAAACCGTTTCCTCCTTGGCTACTGTATGTGAAGATTTTAAACTGCACTGGGCATGTTCTCCCCAGCAAACCATCCTTTTATCCCTCTTGTATAAACATGCTTTAATATTACCCCCGTTAGAAAGCACCCCTTTTGACCAGCCACCTCCCCCTGACTTGGTCCGCAAGCCCTCGGGCTCTCGCACACCGAGCATCTCTCATCGGCAGCTCTGCTCCCCACTTCTGGGCATCTCTCATCTGGACCGTCCGAACCACCTCCTGACTGGCCTCTGGGCCTCCCTTCTCCCTGATTCCCTCCCTCAGTCCCTTCTTCACTGAGCAGCCAGAGAGAGGTTATTAAAATAAATCAGATCACAGCACCCACCCTCCACCCCTTAAAGCCCTGCGCTTTGCCCTCTGTAATTAGAATCAGTCCGTTCTCCCAGCCATGGGTCTGCCCTCCCTTCCCTTACAAACTGTGGGGCTCCGCGTACTAATTCATAGCCTGGGGCCTTTGCACAAGCTCTTCCTTTGGCCTGGAATGTTCTCACCCCATCATTCAGGAATCAAATCAGATGTCCTTCTCGGACAGGTTTCCTGGGGCTCCCTGCCAGCATGGAACCTCGTCTCTGCAGTCCCAAGCAGCCCTCCTGCTTGAGTGTCTTCATCTCATCACTTACCTGCCTAGGGCCTGTTTCCCCAGGGGAGGGTAAGCACAGTAGAGACGGTGTCTATCTGCTTCCTGCAGAATTCCCAGCAACTTGAGCAGTGCCTGGCACAGAGTAGGTGTCCACGTGAATCTTGACGTGCAGGAATGAATCAGAGCCCTCCTAAGGGAGGTGCCCACACAGGGCTCCTGCAGGTGGATGGCTGCCAGCCCCAGATGCGGGCCTGGTGTCGTCACGGCTTCCAACCCCCCACGAGATGCTGGAAATCCAGATTCTTTTTTTTTTTAATATGAAATGTTCCAACTTTTAAAACAGTGTGTGAGCCAAACAAAACATGCCTACAGGCCACATCCGGTCCCCGGGCTGCCAGGATGATCTCTGCTCTAAGTTACTGGAGCTCAGCAACAATCGCTTTGAAGAAGGGAAAAAGGCTATTTATTCTCAACCCTGGGACCTGACATGAGCTTGGCAGGATGACTGTCTAGGGCCGGGTGGTCAGGCCTCACTGCGGCCTCTGGAAGGTGATGTGTGTACCCTTCCTCTTGGGGATAAGCTGCCGTCTGGTGGAACCGAATATGCTCCACCTCGGTGCCTCCCTGGGAACACTCGTGGTGAAGGCCAGCCGGACCTCAGTGAGGTCGGGAAGCACCGCGGAGTGTGACTTCAGCACTCAAATACGGAGGGAGGGCATTTCCAGGTCTTTCCGCAAGATGACTAAGAGGGTCCCTGTTAGTGTCCTGAACCAGCACCCTGAGTACATTTAAGGGAAATAAGAAAAGAGTTCAGCCACAAATGTTACCCATCAAATGAGAAGCTTTCTTCTTTTCAGGGTCTCTTCCAAGTCCTGGTATCTGAGCATAGAACAGTTTTTACATAATGGCAATTCTAAAAGAGACACCGTTGATTGTGCTTTGAAATGTAACTTTGTATCCTAGGTGTTCTTCCACGAGGCCAACAAAATCCTAACAATGCCAGTCATTTCTTCATATCTTGTTGAAGGGCTATAGTAAATCATTTAATTAACCATGCCCTAGTGGCTGGGGTATTTTACTGCTTCTGATTTTCAAATATTCTAAGTGATGTATAACGAACTTGCACTTGTAGCTTTTTCTTTCCTCTGGGTTGTTTCCTTGGGATAAATTCCCAGAAGTTTTATACTGAAAGAGGGCGTGGGCATATTTACAGTTCTTTATATGTATCCCCAGAGTTCTTTCCAAAAACTTCTTGTACCAATTTATGTATGTAAACAGCCACGTATGCCTCTGGGTTTCTTTGCAGCTCTGGCAGAGGTATGAATGATTTTTCTTCATGATTCCAATTTAATAGGCGTAAAATGGTCCTCTTATTTGCCTTTCTTTGAATATTAATGACTTTGAACATTTCCCATGTTTTTGTGGTTCTTGTATTCGCACTCGCACCCACTGTCTCTCTAGCCTTTGTCCTTTTCTTCCCCCCTTGTGGGACCCTTATTTTTTTTCATAAATTTTTACATGACAGAGTAGAGATGTTAATCCTTGACATGCTTTTTCTGCTGTCAGTCTCCCACCCACAGTATATTTTTTTCTGGACTTACAGTTTGGGTTTGTTATAGGCAGCTAGTTGCTTTTTTGATTCTGTGTACTTTGTATGTCGGATAGGATCAAGAGGAAGGGGCTTCATGGTG